GGGTTTGCCAGCAGGCTGGCACCTGTGGCTAAGATTTGCTCTGGATGCTGGTGGGTGGGTAGGTATCTGCTGCCTGTGCATGAAGGACTTAAGACTTCCAGCACAGAGACCGGCTCAACTGTCCAAAATCTGCCCCCGTTTCTCCCTGCCCCTCACCAGCCCCCTCCTCCTGCCACGGTGGCTGCTGTCCCTGCTGCTCACTTTAATTACCTACGTTTCGTGTTGGTGCCATCCGCGCTCTGCTCCATCCCCCTTGGGTGCAGTCCTGCGCTGCAGGACCCGAAATGGGACACTAGCTTCCCCTCCCCCCCCCCCCCCCGCTGGGTAAGCGGAGCCCAGGAGCCACCTGGCTACTAGCCCTTGTGTTTTAGCTTCTCCTGAGGTGAGATGACAACGTGGCCCGGCCGTGCTCCGTCCTCACCCGCCAGCCACTTCCCCAAAGCCGCGCAGAAGGAGCCGCCCAGAGCTTGGTACTTACGCGCCACTTTCCACCTTCAGGGAGCGGATGTTCTCGAAGCCGCACTCGATGATGGTGGGGCAGGCCGAGGTGAACTCCATCTTCTTTCCCTGGAAGTTTTCCTGGTCGTAGGCTGTGATCTGAAAGGAAGAGTCGTCCCCCCTGAGTCTCACTGAACTGGGGGAGGGGCGTGGTGCATGTTAACAGTCCTGGTGAACGGGGTGCTCATTGAACAAGAATTAAGGTTAATGCCCCAGCTACCGCTGGACACTGCGTGGTCTGCATCTGTGCCCCACACTGCTGACCCCCAGTGCCCCTGTTAGAGCCCCCTAGCTGGAATATCACCCAGCTGGGACTTGTAGCACTCAGGTGCAAGGGAGGTCAGACCAGCCTTGGCCGCATGGATACGTTCTTTCTCACCTCCCCTATGGCACACTCTCCTGTCTGTGGCGACAAGCTCCGGCCTCAGCTGGGGCATCCCTGTGAGGGGTATGGAAGCGACCGCAGCCCCGCTGCATGCACGGAGCCGTGCTGATGCCAGGCAGGCTGCAGCGTTGACACCCCTAGGGCTGCACTTAGAACTCACGCTAGTTCCACTCCAAAGTCTCCTGGGCAAAGAGGGTTAGGTGGAGAAAGGAAGAGCAGGGACTTTCCCCGTGCCTTGGGCTGGTGGACAGGATCATCACCTCCCCCCAGCAGCATCTGTGGCAGCCACTTCTTTGTCCACCCCCCCCTAGATTTACGTACCTGCTTCTCTTGTTCCTTCTCACACGCCTGCCCAGCAGGCCAGAACTGCTCCCAGCACCACAGCTGCTCCCCGGCAAATACGCTAGTAAACCCCTTCGGTGGCAGCGCCGTTTGACCTCAGCCGGCTTTGCTCCAGCCATGCTTGCTCCCCTCCCCTTCGCACCTCCACCGTCGGGCTGCTGCGCTTGACGGGCACAGGCCTTCCTGGCAAGTGACTGCCGAAGCTGGGCCAGTGAGCATTCACGCCAGCAGTGCGTGGCCACTCCTTACCCAGGGCAGGGAACTCCTGCCACCTGACTTCTGTGCCAACAGACTGGGGTGCTCGGCGCAGGGCTGGCTCCAGGCACCAGCTTAACAAGCAGGTGCTTGGGGCAGCCAAGGGAGAGGGGCGGCACCTGCGACAATTCGGGGGCGGCAGGTCCCTCACTCCCTCTAGGAGCGAAGGATCTGCCGCCACCAATCGCGGCTTTTTTGTTTTGTTTTGCTTGGGGCGGCAGAAATGCTGGAGCCGGCCCTGGTTCAGTGTGGTCCAGCAGGTCAGCACTGGGCTGAGGAGACCTGGGCTCGGCCACGGGGGGTCACCTTGGCCAAGTCACTTTTGTCCTTCTTTCCCCTCCTCTCCCCTCCCTGTTGATCACATCTCATGTGTGGGCAGTACCCGGGTGTGTGCAGTGCCCAGCACACATCCAGCGGGGGCCTCAAGCCCCTACGTGATACAATTTATAACCTGCAGTACAGCTGGGACGTACCTTCCACGGGCCCATGGGGCCAGGCAGAGGGTTTGTCTGAGCCATCTTCGCTGCGGGGCCGGTGCCTGAAAAGGAGGGAAAAGCACAACTCGCATCACAATGACACTGGCACAGAGCCAAGCAGTCTCCTTTGAAAAAGCTTTTTGGCAGGTGCTTGCTAGCGCCCACCGTCCTGTCATTCATTAGGTCACCCCTGCATTCACTGCGGCCCCATGCGCTCCCCGTTGTCCCGTGCAGAGGGTGGTGTGGGACAGTGCTGTTCTCAGTGGCCACCACTGGGCATGTCCGACATGAATTGAGTGAAGGTCCCAGCCTGCTGCCAGGCGCGTTCTCTGAGACTATTCCAGGGCAGCTGCAACCTTGTGAGGCGACTGGGGACAGGTGGTGACACACCCACACACCCCACCATGGCTTGGCACAGGTCTACACCCCCACCCACCCCACCCCACCATGGCTTGGTACAGGTACAGATCTATACCCAGACCTCCCCCCACCCACCCACCCACACCCTCACCATGGCTTGGCACAGGTACAGATCTACACACAGACCTTCCCCCCCACACACCCCACCATGGGCTGGGACAGGTCTACACACACACACACACACCAGCGCGATAGGGTACAGGTACATACCCACACCCACACCAGCGCGATAGGGTACAGGTACACACCCACACACACACACACCAGCACGATAGGGTACAGGTACACACCCACACACACACACACCAGCA